CCTGAACTAAGGTGAGGGGCCGGGAGGAGCAGGGCAAAGGTGGTGACATCTTTTGCCCTTTCCCGCTTTTCTGTGCGGCAACTTCTCTGGGCAACTTGTGCTAGGACCTCTCCACCCTCACAGGGAAGAATTCCTTTCCAATATCCCATTTAACCCTGCTCTCTGGCAGTGGGAAGCCATTCCCCCTTGTCCTGTCCCTCCATCTCTCATCCAAAGCCCCTTTCCAGCTCTCCTGGAGCCCCTTTAGGCACTGGAAGGGCCTCTAAGGTCTTCCCAGAGCCTTCTCCTCTTCAAACTGAAAAACCCCAACTCTGTCCCAAATTATGATTCACACAGCACCACATTGTTTCTAAACAGCAGAAACTACTCTAGAAAAGTCTTCAACAGAACTGATTTTAATCTGAATCTTCTATAGGATGACTTTTAACCTATAGTTCTAGTCTTGAAGTCCTACCTGCATAAATATTGCATAAATATTCCATACACTGAGAGGTAACCATGGACTACAGAATTTTCAGCAAGCAAATGAAAGAGCCTCTTGGACCAATAAAGTAGCACGCCAAGCAAGTAAACTTGAAAACAGATATAAACACACAAAAATAGCATAAATAGTGACAGTCTATATTTTATCACCTTGTAACTAGTAATTGAAATTCCTTTGTAATAATTTTATGACACAGATAAGCATAATTATGGGGAGAACATACAATATCTAAGGAGAAAACATCCTAATGTTAGAGTCAGGCAAATGAAGTATGGAAAAAATGTGCACGTGAGAAAATCTTCAAGATGAGAATAGGGGGTGGCAGGAAAGGCAGGTGATGGGCCCAGAATAAGCAAGAAAGAGGCCTAGCAAAACCAGATCAGAACTGTTTCTGACTTCAAGGTACTAGAAACAATGCTGGGACCAGATGAAATCATGTATTTTCTTTTTTAGAAGGTGTATAAGCAGCATAGAATACCTGTGATGAGAAGGAAAGATGGGAGAGAAAGAAAATGCCTGCTTGGATTCCAGCTCCCCTTGACTAAGAGATGTCCAGCCTCATCCCTTTGACCTTGGTGGTAAGATCACTGAGGACCGCAGCAGTGAGGGATAACAGCATCAGCTCCCTGGGATTGTACACGTAACTTTGGATAAGCTTAATAATTGCTTGATGTGATATGATTAATAAAGAGTAGGAACTAACAGTCTATGATGTGTATACTTAACTAATATGAAATAAAGTGCTGTTATGAAGTTTGAAACTGGTCTGGATTTTTAGTCACAATACTGTGAAGAATATAGTATCAGTCTCTGAAAATAAATGACGTTCAGATAGATGTACATTTCCTCATTCTGATTTTCTTTGCTGCCAAAGAATAAGAGGAGAAAATGGAAAGCACATTAAGAGCAACCGTTTGGTCTTTCAAACATGATAGCATCATAAAATCATTTGACATCAGGGATTACCACTATTAATGACAAGAGAAGGTGGAAATCACCCAAATTAACATTGCCATGACATTCTATACCTTATTATTATCCTACTTTCTCTACAGTAAATAAGAAAATTCTTCTCTCTAACAAAGAAATTCTCTGTATTTTGCATTAGTGTTCACAGAGCTCAATACAGGTTCCTTGACCTGCTACTTGTATCATTTTGGTAACTACTCCAACAAAAAGCAGTGGGAATATGTGCGTAATTGTGTTGCTCAGCACAGAAGTTATGAAATTGCTCTGACATTTCCCCATTTTCCACCTCGTGACTTCAGAACTCCTTGTGATACTGGTTTGTGTCATTAGTCATAGTTTGATATGCACTGACACTGTACTTCAGCTCCTCAGTGTCACAAGCACAGTGGTTGTGTTGCTCAGTGTGTCCCTCCTGGGCTGTCACCACTGTGTGGAAACGCTGACCACAAGTTCTCTGATAATGCCTGATAAGAGGCTTCCAAGTAATTTTTAAGTAATGGCAGTTGCAAAAGCTTGATTAATTATAATAATTTCTCATTTGTTTTGGACAACAAACTCTAGTTTAATATGATGAAATATTTTTTAATATTGCAGAATAATCTGAACTGTGAAAATAGAGACATTGTGTTTGAAATAGCTCTATAAATTAGAAAACAGATTTGCCTCTATACAGTAAAAGAATGTATGGTTTTTGTAAGACAATATCATTCTGAAACATCTATCATTAAGCAAGTTGTTCAGATCCCTAACTTATGCGGATACTTATCTAGTGAAATTTCCTAAATTATTATTGCATTTTGGATACTGATCTGTGATATGTCCCCCATCCCCAGTGGGAGAGGGGCAAAAAGGAAAGGGTGAGACCTGCTAGACTCCACAAAATTAGGGTGGGGGGCCTTATTGGGTTTTCCCCAGGGCCCGCCACCTCCCCCTCCCTCCCTATTTTGAGGGTCCCTCCCCATTTTTGGAGGAGTTTCCCTGACATTTTAGTTTCCCTCCCTGACATTTTTGGAGGTCCTCACCCATGTTTTGGGGTTCTCTCTCCCACTTTTGGGGGTCCACCCTCCTACTTCTGGGGGTCCTCATCCACTTTTGTGGTTCCCCACCTATTTTTGGGGCCCCTCCTTCACATTTTGGTGCTCTTCCTCCAATTTTTCTTGTCCTTGGAGGTCTCCCACCCATTTCTGGGTTGCCTGTCCAATTTTTGGGGTCATCCCTCCATTTTAGGGGTGACCCCCAATTTAGGGCTTGTGGGAAGAAGGGATTAAAGGACATCTCCAAAAAGGTTTTTTTCTCTTCTATTTCAATTTTGTTTCATTTTTAGCTTTCTTGGGTTTAATTTTTAATTTTTATTTTCCTTTTAATTTTCTTTTTAGTTTCCTTTATATTTCTGGTTTTTATTTTCTTTTTTTATTTTTAACTTTATTTTAATTTTATTTTTATTTAGTTTATTTTTAATTTTAATTTATTTTATTTCTTATTTTGTTTTTATTTTTATTTCTTATTATTCCAGAGAGGGAAACACTGCAACTCCTCTGGGCAAGGAAAAGGCTCCTCTGCTCTTCCCTTAAACACAATGCCTGGAATTAGTGCCCTGGGAGCCCAGTCCAGTCATTCCAGTGAATGGGGGCCACCCAGAGCAACTTTGCCAGCATAAAATGAAAATTACACTGTGGTCAAATATATTCCCAGCAGGATTAGAAAGTCCTGGCCAAGGTGACCAGTCCATGGAAGTCTGACCAGTGACAATCAAGGGGGGGTTTTCAGTGGGATACTTGTAGGTTTTACTGTCCAGAAACTCCAGTTCTTTTTGGCACCTTCTGCTTAAATGTTTCCCTGTTGAAAGAGGTCAATTAGTTTTTTTAGTGACCAGATTGCCAAAGTTCAGGAAATACAATCAGCATTCCCTCACACCTCCAGCGCCTCCACACCCACCTGGGATCCGGGGCCCATGGGCAGCAGCCTGCCTTGCACAAGCTCCAGGGGTGGTGGTCAGTCCTTTATTCCCATGCCTTGAATACCAGCTATTTGCAACAATCTGGGCTTTTGACAAAGGCTGCAAATCAATCACCGTCATAACCTGAGTAGTACTATTAAATGACACTGAACTCTGTATAAATATTAATTAGTTTGCATGATTAATTCCTTAACTATTTTAAGCAGTGTACAAAGAAGAACTGGACTTGAAGGGGATGTGTGGGGTCTGAGAATCACCTTTCCCTGCAGAGACCACCTGAGATGCTGAGTTCAGCCTGGTGGGTACCAGGCACACAAACTTTGGGGTACAACATGATCAGACGCCTACCTCCTGGGAGGGTCCCTGACTGTGCCCATCACCTGCTTTCTGCCACAACCCTCAAGAGCTTCCCACCATGCTGCACAAACAGCAAAACTGGTTTCTGCAATTGGCCCCCAAACCAGCTCACTTAGAGCACATTTCTGAGCCCAAAAACCCAGCTGCTGAGCCTGCGTGCCCGAAAGTGAAGCACTTCGCCTGTTCCTAAGCACAAAGGCACACAACTCAGTCTCCTGTGCCAGGTTCAGAAAATGCATGACTCGAGCTGTTTCTGAGCCCCAAAATCAGCCACATGAGCCTGCTTTCAACAGAAGATCTGGTCTCCATTTTCTGGCGCCAAACCACCTTTCTGGTCCCATTACCGTTCCCTGTGTGCAATGCCAAAGGGTGCAGGTAGTGCAGCCAGACCACAGTGCTGCACCCTAGGGTCCCATACACAGTTCAGGGAGTGCCCAGCCCTGAGCCTCTGCAGGTCAGCAGGAGCACAGGCAGGGCAGGCATCACTGCACTGCTGCTGTTTCTGCCTGCTGACAGCCCCTACCCACTGCCACATCCCCTCCTGCCCTCTGAACTATCCCCTGCCCTTCATGAGGGAGGCATGCATGGTATCTGAGGGTAGGGGCAGCCTCAGGGAACCACTGGGCCAGCTGCTCTGGGTATGGGACTGTGCCACAGGGAGGCAGGCACGTGGGAGCCAAGGCGGGGGCAGTGAGCACGGGGAGCTATGGGAAGGGAAAGTACTGTTGCTTTCCCATTTTTCCCACAGGCTGATTCTCTCTTCGACGCCAAGTCATCTCCCTGCTGGATGTCAAGCTTCTTACCCAGTCCTTGGGGCTAACCTTAGGTCCTTCTAGAACTGAGTCATGAGAGAGTCCAGTTTTGTCACACACACAGGGATCCCACTGATAAGCAGCCTAAAACAGCATTCTAAACTTCTGCCTTCAAGAATTGTAGCCCCCTATGACTTGTGTACCCTTCTGCCACTGCCTCATTTTGCAGGTGCCAGGCATGGGACTCCTAGCCTTTCATAGGAGACTGAATTCGATTGAAAACATGGCTAATGGTGACAATAGGAAACTTTATTTCCACAGCTAAATCAACTTCAGCATTTGCGTGCATGCAGAGGAGGAACACAGGCAGGACAGAGTAGGTCTTTGACCCTGAGGCTGCCTTTGGGTCAGCAGGCACTGCCCTAGAAGGAAATGGTTGTGGTTCACTGCAGCCTGCACTGGATCCTCTTCATCCTGCTGCTCAAGTCTTTTTTCCCATTAGGTCGTGTAGAATCTCTTGCACCCGAGTTAGGAATTGTACCAGTATCTGGTATGGATGTGGAGCAGGTGTAGACCAGCCTGATTGCGTTGCTGTTGGCCTTGGCCCCTGAAAGGGGGTTGAGCTGAAGACTGGCTCTGGCACTGGCGTAGCTGTTACAGCTGGGCATGGATGTGGAGTGGGTGTAAACCAGTCTGATTGTGTTGGTATTGGCCTTGGCTGCTGAAAAGGAGTAGAAGTGAAGGCTGGCTCTGGCTTTGGAGTGGTTTTTACAGGTGTTTGTGGATGTGGAGTGGGTGTAAAGCAGCCTGATTGTGTTGGTATTGGCCTTGGCCGCTGAAAAGGGGTTGTGCTGAAGGCTGCCTCTGGTGTTGGAGTGGCTGTTACAGCTGAGCACAGGCCCATCTGGACCAGGATCCAGTCGTAGAAGTGCTGAGTGGATGTGTAAACTCCAGGCCGTTTTGCTCTGGCACAGCCTTTTCCCCAGCTGGTCACTCCAACAAGCCAGAAGTAGTTGGCACTGTTATCTTTGCACACCAGAGGACCTCCGCTGTCACCCTGCAGCAGACGAGAGAGGATTAAGGTGCTGTTGGGTGGCTGCTGTCAGTACTAGGGGCTTGCTTCTCTCTTGCAGCCCCTGCCACAGCTGTATTCCTGGCATAGAAGGGCTCTGCTCAGGTGCTGGATTCTTCAGAAACTTAGCTGGGAACAGGTTGGGGTTCTGTAAGATAAGGCCCTCTATCATATCTGAAAAGTGATCCTGGATGTGTGGGAGGATGAATGACCCAGCATATGGATATCTGGGCTGCCAAGAGCACTGAATGGGCTTTCACGGCAGAGTGCCAGGCCTAAGGAACACGGGCACTGGGCAAGAACCTGTAGATACGGAGAAGGGGAGAGAAGCCCCACAGTGGTGGGGAGCCAGGGTTGGAAAAGTGACTTGCTAGGCAGAGCACACGCTGGGCTGTGTTTGGGCAGTGGTTTTGGAGCTTTCTTGGGGCATCCAAGTGGACAAAGTGAATAGGAATGAGCAAAATGCCTTTGCAGAAAAGGGTAGCTATAACCTGGGCTGTGCTAGCAGCAGTGATGCCACCATGACAAGTGAAGGGATTCTTCCCTTTTATTCAACACTTCTGAGATCCCATCTAGAGCATGGTGTCCCATTTTTCTGCTCCCTAGAGCAAGGAAGATACTCCCATACTTGAGTGAGTCCAGAGGAAGGCCATAAAGATGGTGAGGGAGCTGGTACACAAAATGCACAAGGGAAGACTGAGAAAGGTGTGTTTTGCAGGTTTGAAAGGAAAAGGTAATGGAGATCTTATCACAGAATCACAGAATATGCCGAGTTGGAAGGGACCCACAAGGATTATTGAATCCAACTCCTGCTGCTGGGGGGCTGGATGACTCATAGTACAGTCCTACCTGACAGGTGTCGATGCTGCCCTGTGGGTAGCCAGCACATAGGTTGTGGGCGTGGATGGTCCCAGCATACCATCGGCTGCTGTTAACGAGTTGGATATCAAGGAGACGGACCTTGGCCTCCTGCAGGACATCACCTGGTCCCTGAGCTGTGAGCACAGAAAGGAATGAGCACTCAGCAGTTCACTTTCAGTTCTTCTGCTCTGTCTGGGTGTGGAGCCCTTCCCTAGGGCTTTTCTTTGCCTCTGGAGCAGCCATCAAAGTGCTGTGGTCCTTCTGCCTGGCTTTGGGTGGCAGGCCAGGCCCATCTCTCCAAAGGCATACGTCCTGCAGCCTGACTCTGGCTTTGGCCTCTGTTGTTGAACCACAACTTGTGTCCCCAGCGTCCCCAGCTTGCCTTCAGGGCATGAGTTCTTTTTGGGAACTCACCTTTTGTACTAGTGGAACCCCAACCAGCAATGTAGCAGGTTTTCAGCTCTGACACTGTAAGAGAGGTGTTGGGAACACAGGCAAGCTGGATGTAGTCACTGCACTCCACGGGTTGGTCCAATTCCACCAAGGCAATATCATTCTGCTGCGAAGAAGCAGCGTAGTGTTGGTGAACCAGGAGCCGCTTGATATGGCGCAGCTGGGCCTCAGGGCCCAGCTGAGTCAACTGGGTGGCCCCGATCAGCACGCGCCACATGGTGATGTTCCTGGAAGGCAGAGAGAGAGGGGTGAGACGAAGCAGAGCCATGTGCTGCATCAACTCAGCACTTGCCTGCCTTCTGCTTCTCAACACAGAGAGGAAAGCAGTGCAACTGCGGGTGCAACTGCCTTAGCATGCCTTAGCCTCCAGGAATGTCAAGCTGGAGGCTGCTAGGCAGCAGTGGCAGGAGCCCAGCCCTCTCCTGAGCAGTCTCTCAGCTGGGCTTTCTACTGCCCAGGCACTGGGTTCATTGCAAGGAAAAAGGATGGGAGTAGTACGTGGAGCTGTGGACTAAGCACCTGCCTGTATTGTAGGGATATCCATATTCTCTGCTCCTCCTTACCTGGCCTTGTTGAAGCAGTGGGCTGCTGTGAGGACCCACTGTGGGCTGATGAGGGACCCTCCGCATGTATGACCAGTGCCTATTTTCCTGGGATCCTGGATGCTGACAATCCAGGGCCAGGCCCCTGGCTGGGCACCTGTGCCACCCACAGTATGTTGCATGCCGTAGTCAGAAGCCATGGGCCGGAGCCCGCACGTGTCTCTGTAAGCAGAAAGTCATTACTGCCCTGCCTGACTGCTGCTACTGCTCAGGCTATGTCTTTCTGCCCTAGGACCTGGGTGCTGGCAAAAAACTGAGGCTCCCACATGGGGTTTGGGAAGCTGTGGTGTGGTGAAGTGGGAAAAGTGGGCCCCCTCCAGGGAACCACCTAAGTGTTGCCCAAGCTCCCTCCCGGAGTCTGGGACCACTTACCCGCAGGTGTCCCAGGTGCCATGTGCAGGCCTGAATATGGTCAACAGGATGAGGAAGTACAGCAAATTCATCACTGCCAGCAGCATATGTCAACCGAAAGAAACAAAAGGTTGTCTCTTCCAGTGCCACTGCTGACCCAAGTGCCCACAGCACTCATGCTGCCCATGGCACCGTCAGCCCTAGGGCTGATGTCACAAAGTGTTGTTCCAGGTTCCGGGAATGGAGCCCTCAGGGGATGGGGGAGGGGCAACACAACCTCATAGAACCATAGAATGGTTTGGGTTGGAAGGGACCTTAAAGATCCCGTAAGGAAAAAGTGGTCCCATACCCAGCACCTGCAAAACGGGTCTACTGTGGGCCATCAATTTGGGCACAATGGGAAAGAGTCACTCCAAAGAGAGTGCTTAGTCAGAGAGTAGGATACTCATAGTGACAGAGTGACTACCAGAATGCTTTCCTCTGCCACCTCTCTAGCAGTCATATCTGCTAATTGATTTCCAACATTAGTTGGTGTGTTTCCAAATTGATGAGCTTTACAATGCATGAGAGCCACTCCGGTTGGTAACTTCTGAACACTTTCCAGTAATAGTTTAATGACATCTTCACACTTGACAGGAGATCCTTGTGCTGAAAGGAGCCCTCTTTCTTTAAAGATAGCTCCATGGACATGTACTAGTCCAAAAACATAGTTGGAATCAGTCCATATGTTGACCTTCTTACCTGCAGACAATTCTAGGGCTTGCTGCAGAACGATGAATTCAGCCTTTTGTGCAGAGGTGTGAACAGCTAATGGGTCAACTTTCATTGCCTTGATTTGGGTCACTACTGCACACCCAGATTTCCGCTCTGCTCTGCACACAAAACTGCTCCCATCTGTGAACAGTTCCCAGCCTGGATCTTCTACTGGAGTGCCTCTTAAATCTTCCTTGTAGGAGTAAACCTGCTCAACAGTTATAAGACAGTCATGTTGTGAGCCTCTTGGCATTCTAGCACAGATTCAAGGAACATATCTGAGTTCTAGGTGGTAGTTGTTTTCAGTTTTGCATCATCCTGTTCCAACAGTACAACTTGATATTTATGAATTTGATTTGTGAATAACCAATGACCAGTTGTTTGGAAAAATACCCCACAGCCCTTCTCCATGCTCCCAACCTCTGAGCAAGTACACCTAATGCAAGGTGTGAGCATTGATGCACAAACAGTATGTAAGGTTTTGTCAGGTCAGGTAATCCCAAAGCAGGGCTGGCATTAGAGCTCTAAGTCTCTTAAAGCTGTCTGGTATTCTGGAGTCCACTGTAGTATTTCAGGGTTTCTCAGGGCCTCATATAAAGGTCTTACCAACAGTCCATAATTAGGAATCCATAGCTGATATCAATCAGCTATTCCTAAAAATGTCCCTAATTCACATACAAACCTTGGCTCTGGAGTTTCACAAATTGCCTCCTCTGTTTCGATTCCGAGGCTTTGAAGTCCCTTAAAAATGGTGAATCTCAGATATGTAACCTCCTTTCTGTCAATATGGGCCTTTTTACTGGACACCCTGTAACCCGTTTGTCCCAAAAAATTTAGTAAACTAATAGTCATTTCGATGCATCCAGTTTGAGTTTCTGTAGCTATCAGTATATCGTCTACATATTGCAGCAATGTGATTTCTTCATTTTCCTTTTTCCATATTTCCAATTCTTTTGGCTGTTGGTTCCCAAAGTGGGGCTATTTTTGAAGCCTTGTGGAAGAATAGTTCATGTTAATTGGTTTTTACAGCCTGTTGGGGGACCTTCCCATTCAGAAGCAAACAAGGGTTGACTTTCAGTTTCAAGGAATATGCAGAAGAAAGCATCCTTAAGGTCCAAAACAGTAAACCACTAATCAGATTCCTTAATTGTAGTTAAAAGTGTATAATTATTTTCTACCACTGGGTGTGTTCTTTATCAGTAGAATAGGAGTATTATATTCTGATTCACATTCATTTAGTAATCCATGTTGCACAAGTTTAGTAATTAATTCCTCTAACCATTGCTTAGCTTTTAATTCCAAAGGGGAGCCCCTGGTGGTCTAGTGGTAAAGGCGCGGCGCTGTCACCGCCGAGACCCAGGTTCGATTCCCGGTCAGGGCCACTCCCGGGCTGGTGGAGCTCGTTAACCCTTAATAGGCAATCCATCTACGTCCTAAGGACCTCGCTGCCACCGTCCAAGCTCGCTTGGCCCCGGCAGATGAACCTTAGGATTAAAGGGTGGGCTCAGTTCCGCGCACACTCTGTCTCACCTAAAAAAAAAAAAAAAAAAAAAAAAATCCAATGTGCAGGCTGGAAGGTGTAAAGACCTTCCCTGGATCTTCGCTCGCGAAGAGTGGCCGTTATTATTATTATTAATTCCAAAGGATATTGATTTTGCCTTACCAGTTTGGAGTCTGGTTTCAACTGTATTCTTACTGCTTTTGCTGCCCTTGATTCCCCAGGAATTCCACCAACAGAGTAACAGCTTTTTCCACCTCCTCTGGGATTTCCTCTGTAATACTGGGTTGCTGTAACAACATAAAATCCTGGGCCTCCAAGATCTCACTGTCAAAAATTACATAGTTGAATTTGTTTATTTTCAAATATTATTTCTTTCCTAACAAAGGCATTGACCATGCAGGCATATATAGGAATTGATGTGTTAACCACTATTTACCTATGTTGAATTTTAAAGAATGGAAAAGTGCCAAACTGAAGCTTTTCCTTGTCACAGCAACAAAGCAAGGGAAATTACAAAGGTATTGTTAGAAGAAATAATGCCTTGACTTGGAATTCCACTGTGAATTTCCTCAGGAAAAGGACCTCAGTTTATAGCAGAATTTGTGCAAAAATTGTCTAAAATATTAGGAATCAAATGGGATTTACATACTCTTAGGAGACTACAATTTAGTTGGGAGGTTAAGAGAATGAACCAAAGCCTAAAAAGGCAAATAAACAAAATCTGTCAAGAAACCTCACTTAAATGGCACATGCTCTTCCTCTGGCATTGTTAAAAACTAGAATCCAGCCAAGCTCCAAGGAAAAGGTAAGCCCATGGGAAATCTTTTATGGGAGGCCATATCAAACTGTAACTGTTCCTGGAGAGAGGCATGTGATAGGTAGTCACAGTTTAAGAGAATATGTAATCTCTTTGGGAAAAATACTTTTATCACTGCATAAATTTGTTGTTTTAGCCTCACTGGAAACCTTGGATATTCATGCACAACCTCACCAGCCAGGAGACTGGACATGAAGTAAGGAACCACTCAATCAGAAGTGGAAAGCACCACTTCAAGTTCTCCTGACTACTCATACAGCCGTGAAAATGATGGGTGAAGACTTCTGGATTCACTACACGTGAATCACGCCAACTCTGGACCCAGAAGGACCACACTGAAAAGTGCAGCAAACAGCAAATCCGCTGCAGATGAAGTTGCAATGGAACCAGAGACTCTAAATTGAGAGATGTTAAATGGTTTATCTTTGTGTTGTGTTGTTTATTCTCAACTTTCCACTCATTCAGATGAAAGTATTCAGATGGTGGGTCTTCTAACACTGTGTATCGCCCGCCCTCAGGAGTTTCCCTCTGCTGGTAGCTCAAAATCCACAATCACTCGCCCAATGCTGGCCCCGCTCACATATAGGGCAATTCCCTGGAATGGGGTTCTTTGGACAGTTTTTCTTAAAATCATCAGACTCTTGACATCTGTAACAACCCATCACAAGCTCCAGCTCTTCTCGGTGCACGTAGCTTTGCTGCTAATGCTGTAGCCAAGGAGGTAGCACGATAGCCAGTAGTACCTACATTTTGACATGCTCAAACTTCATTAATTAATATTCTATCTTGGTTATTCATATCTCGCTTCTCATGCTAATTAGTCCATAGTTTAGGTGCTTTCCTTATTTCTCCCAGATAATGCAGCCCAGCACTGTGCTCAGCTCAAGCACCAACTGTGGTGCTCGCTGCCCTCATGGAAGGCCCCCTTCATCGTAGCAACAGGATGCCCATGGCCCCCTGTCCTGGGCTCCCCCATCCCTGGCCTCACATCCTTGTGCCCAGGACAGGCCCTGCTATAGAGAGCAGAGGGGCTCTGCTGCCACCCTGGGGGTGCCCATGAGCTGTGCAACAGCTCCAGTGGCCAAGTGCAAGGCTGAGCTCTCCATGGGACTGTGTCTGGCCTCAGGCAGATCCACTGGCCTTTCCTTGTCTCTATTTCCACTCATGTCCCAAGAATGCAATTCAGGTATTAGTCAAGATATGATTTTCAAAGATCTTTCAAAGCTCCTGCCTTTCCTGACTTCGTCATTAGTAAGGTCGTTATAAGGAAATTTCTGCGGAAGAATCACACCTAACTTTCTCACTACGTGGGACAAGAAGGAGATTTCCCATTTTATGCTAAGGCCCAGTACTTGGAAGAAGGTGGTTTCCTGGTTCTTATTTGCTCCGATGTTGCTTTGGTCATCCACTGGGAAAAAGGCATGAACAGGCTCTCTCCCTCCCCTACTGCAATAACTTGTTTTACACCCCAGGTCTTTATAGCCATTGATGCGGCGCACGGGTTCGAAGAAATGAAGCCGCAACACTTCTGGGGCGATGAACTGAAAGAACTTTTAGGAATGTAACAGAAAAGACTTGGGCTGATCAGCCAACTTAGGGGAGCAGAAGGAGAAACTAAACTGCACAATCAACATGGCTCCTGTCTTTTATAGGGTAGGGAAGGGAAGATCCTGGAACAAGAGGCAGAGCCATATCCTGAGTTCCTGCTCTTGCCGGTGCATGTAGCTGTGCTGCTAATGGTGTAGCCAAGGAGGCAGCACGATGGCCGTTAGTACCTACATTTTGACGTACTCGGACCCTCTCACCCATAGTACTGCTCTCCCGCTTGGGAGTTGCCTGCAACACTCCTTTACAATCCCCACTTGCATTCGCAAAAGCTAGGTGCTTAGGAAGCAATTCCCTCGTCTGCACCTTTTCTACCTACCTGGGCAGAGTAGGGTTTGCAATCGATGTAAAACTTGTGTGTATGTCTCATCAGGCTCCTGCAACACCTTAGTAAACGACATATTCATGTCCCTCTCAGCACTAGGAAGTTTTCTAAGCACTCGCACTACAAGCTTTGGAATCAGCTCATCAATCTCCCAAGGGTAATCTCCTTGGGTCCCCGGGGTTGCGTAAGCTTCCTCCCCTGCTCACCGCTCGTAAGTCTCTCCCCCTTGTGGATTGTTAACCACGTAAGCCTTACAGTTTTCCTTAAATTCCGTGGGCCGCACCCTAATCTGAGTTCTTCATAAAACCATCCTGAACACTGCACGCCAGTCATAAGGTGTAAAAGCGCAAGAAACGTTCAGATTCTCCACAAACGTAAGATCACAGGGAGATGAAATTCCGCTTTCCTTAACTATTTGCCAAATGTCTTTAATTACTTGATATGGCAAATTCTGATATTGAGGGCACTGCTGGGGACGACAGATTACTGGGCAGGCGTTAATCACCTTCCATCGCCTGCACCAAGGCCTGCTCCCAGCATTTCACCCACTCTATTGTCCCCATATCCCCATGTGACCACTGCTAGTCTGCGGGACTAGAAGCATCCAAATCTTGTTCATTCCTCTCGGTGTAATCCTCATCTATCAACTGCTCGCAATCCCCACAATGCTCAGACTGGGGCACAGAGCGGCATGGTGGCAGAAGCCGAGCTTCCGCAACCGCTGCTGGACGAGATGGTCAGCTCGCCTCCCTGTCTCCCCCATGACGGCGTGCACAAGGTGACGGTGTCGTGGTTTTGCCCAACAGCCCATCCCTGGGGCTGAGGATGGTTTTGTCCAAGTGATTTCCGGACAAAAAAAACCAATCAGAAAGTTCAGTGACGCCTTTGCTAATTACATCTTTAAGAAAATGGAAGAGAAGGTTGGTTGCGCAGTTGAAATTAGGGGCAGCAGCCATGTAGAAGAGTAGCAGGCCCGAGGAGGGCCATGGTCTCCTTCTCCCCAGGCCTTGGGCTGGGGGAGGCAGGTGCAACACTGAAGCCTCCCTTCTCTTCTGTAAAAGAGTGAAGAAAGAAAAAGTTTAAAAGACAAACTGCTTAGACGAGAAACCGCTGCAGAAGAATTCCAGCCATGAGGTAACAGGACTTCCAAGGTCAAAGTTGGCAGCTGTAAGAGAGAGAAGAAAAGTTCGAAGGGGGGAGAGCTGCTTTTTTCTCCCTTTCCCTCCCTTCAGCAGGGTAAAGACTGAAAAATAAAACCCTGCCACTTGTAAAAGTTTGTTGGGGTAAAGAGACCCCCCATGCGGCTCACAGAGGAGCTTGTAGATGTACCAGAAATTTGTGACTTTGACAGAAAAAGAAAAAGCCTTATGCTGGAGCAGGAGTGGCTCAGATGAGGCAGAGTCCTGTTAAAGACTTTGTGACCCTCGAAGGGGACGATGCTTATGCCGGAGCGAGACGGATCGGATAAGCTTGGGATCTCAGTGAGAGATCCATGCTGCTGGTGCTGGAGATTTGTGACCCTGAGAGAACCTACGCTGGAACAGAAAAACGGCTCAGGTAGGGATGTTGAAGATTGATGACCCTGAGGGGGATGAGGACCTACGCTGGAGCAGAAGACGGCTTAGGTGGGATACTGGGACCCGAGTAAGGGATCCAGACTAGACCCATGCCGAGAAGTCTATCAGGGACTGTTCTCCCATGGGGAGGGACCTCCATAGGGAAACAGGGGTGAACTCTTAAACCATTATTCCCTGTAACCCTGTGGAAGAAGATCCATAGTAAGCAAGTGTCCCCTTGCAAGCCAATAGAAGAAAAACCTTCAGGACCTGAGTAAACCCCAGCCTTCGGTTTTAGCCCAAGAGGGGGGTAGACCCAGCCCTGGAGGCCTACACAGAGAAGGAGAAAAAGTTCCAGCTACGACGAGAGTGCTGCAAAATTACTGGAGAGAGAGACAGAGAGATGGAATTCCGAGAATAGAAAAGGACTGCTTCTCCTCCTTGGACTGATATAAAAGGAGGTGGGGGGAGAAATATCTTCTGTAAATACATGGCACCTTTTACTTAAGTAGAATTGCTGTAGATATAATTCTTTAATTTTAGCTTGTTAATAATAAATACTCATACTTTTTTTTCAATTCAGTCTCTTTTTGTCTGCATAAACCTTCTCTCAACATATAGTAATTGTATGGGGAGTGTAAAAGTAAATTGAGCCAGGGCAAAACCATGAAAGACGGTGGCCCCTCTCCCGTCCCGGGACGAACGCAGAATAGCGGCTCGTCCGCAGACACACAACGGGCACGGAGGGGCAGCTCATCTGCGGGTACACGCCCAACACCGACAGCGGCAGCCGTGCTGCCATCCCAAAGCAACGGGACACCCATGCCCACCCCACAACACGCAGCTTCCCTCTCTCCCCGGGGGGGCACAGACCTAAGGTTTATCCCAGGCCCTAATCAGCAGCTTGAGGGCCCTAATGCATCTTCCCCCCACCACCTCTCCCCAAGCGTTTGGCACGTGGCACTGTTTTTCCCTAACCTCTCCCTAGCTTTGATGTGTTAGTCTTCTCCACCCCATTGCTGCCAAATACCTGTGAAATTGTCGGAATAAATAGGACCCTCTAACTAACTGGTGTTTTAGTGTTAGCGAACAACTCATTGCTTTTCTTTGCAGCACTGGCTGTGCGTGTGGTCTGCAGCCTTTCAGGAGGATTGCCAGAAGAGCATTCTGGGAAACGAAGTCTCCAGGGCTCTGCTGCACATGCACAGGGAGGTGTCTTGTCGGGATTGGTTGTTAAGGTCACAGGTGGGACGTGTCACTGTTTGAACCTCACAGATGAGCCCTTGTCTCAGTTAATGAGGGATGCACTGAGTAATTAACCCGCTGTCTGGGGCTGTGCCCTGACCTGGGGTGTATTATATTAATATTTCCTACAGTGGCTGACCAAATCCTGCCTCCATACTGACAGCAAGACATCGCTTTTCACCTATTTATACACTTTTGGCAAACAAAGAAATTAATGTTCCTTGGTTCCAAATTACATCGCTCCCTTTCATTAATTAGTATTCTACCTGCTCGTGGTTATTAATTTCTCTTTCTACTTTCTACTAGAACAACTTCATAATCTTTAATCCTTTCTGCCTATTTTTCCTCCCCTCGGAATTTCTGACACAAATACTGAGCCTTTGCTAGTCTTCTTAATCTCCTAGTTTCTGCAGAAGGTCCTCGTAGGCCATAGATCTCGTCTTCCAGATCTCCTCCTTCAACAAGACAGCTTCCTCTGACAGGCTTTCTCCACTGAAGCATAACAGGGTTATCTTCAACAAAACTTACACTTTTAGCACTTTTCCCAAGCTATTCTTTCACAAAGGAGCTGATGACAATTTTTACTCCATGTTGGCTGAAACTGATTTAAGGCCTAACACACCACCTATGATTACTCAAAACAACTAATCAAAAAAGTTCATGAGGAACATTACAAAAATTAAAAAAGTTTTATCATTTCCAACAAGCCCAAAACGACATGGGCCAAGTGCAGTGGGAACAAAACTGTCTCTGGTCATCCAGAGTGGGAATCTGGCTAAAGCTGTGGCTCATCAAAGCCTAACCAACCCTGGAGGCAGGAGTAAATGTGAAGCTGCTAAAAAGCCACTGAGGAATGCTTTCAGAGCCTGAGGACAAGACAGCAGCTGGCTGGGGGCCACCAGCCAGCCAAGGTCCTCCCAGCGCAGCCTCTGAAGGGTTCCTTTGGTAGTCCCAGTTCAGGGTCAGCCCATGGCTGTACCTTGGGGGCAGATGAAATTAACTGGAAATGAATCTGTAAGAGCCCAGGTGCTTTGCCACATGAGCCTCACAGGCACATTCCTGTACCTGACAGGAGTGGGAGTGAACCCCTCAGCACCTTGTGCGCCAGAAAAGCTGTGACCTGGCTCCCTTACAGCCCTGGGCAGGCTTTTCCTCCTCAGGCTTTGGACCCCAGGGAAGGTGTGGCAGCTCTGCCAGAGGATGAATTGCCCTTTCCCACCAGCACAGGGGAAGGTCCAGTGGCTCCCACCTGACGGAGATGCCATGGGGGTTCCTGTGCCCAAGAGCCATGTGGCTCCAGGTGGTTTCCTTGGCCTGGTACTTTTGATTTAGATGATCAATGGAGCATAGAGGGATGAGAAAGTGGTTGTATTAGCAGGTGAAACCAGCCAGAGTATTGTACAATGTAACTTTATTGCACTAGTTGACTGTAAGGTCTATTGTGCCTTTAGCAAAGTTAACTGGATATCCCTTACTATCATAGCTGAGTTTCTCTTTTGCTTGGTTGCGTCTTGCAAGATAGATACAAATACCTTAGAAACACAATGGTAGAGGTTGACAATAGTCATGAGGAAGGTGATGGAAGAGGAAGATGATGTGGGCAGGGGTCGTTTGCCCCCTTTCCCTGCAGTGGGGCATGCACAGACTGTTGCCATGAGGTGATGAACGGGCGCTGTTTGGCTGCCACTCAAGCATCACCTTATGCTGCGTCCTGGCCCTACGTAGTGTAATGTAGAGCTGATGGAATGGGGTGTCAGCACTGCTGGATGGAGCGATGCTCATCCTTCCATCCACACTGTGTTGCTCTGCGGGGACACCGACTAAGCATGGGCACCAACCAGTCGCTGCAGATCCTCGCAGCCCGGGCCTGTCTGTGCAGGTAAGCACAGTTTATTGATAGGAAGCAATTGAGAAAGCAAACATTTTATAGCCCTTTTCTATCCCTTTCATTCCCTTCTCTTCTACTAGCTAATACTGTAATAGAGGCTGTCTGGAGTATAGTATGAACGCCAATAGATAAAGTAGTATTTTTGTATGCTTTTTTAGCTTTTGATTCTCTTTGCTAATACTTTATTTTTTGCTCTCACTGCAATAAAAGATGTTTTGTAGTGTTTGAATGACTGTCCTACTTGTCTTTGTTCCGGGCATGCATCCTAATGAACTGGTAGACAAGGGAAGAGAGGCCTCTGTGACCCCATGTCAGCCGGTGATTGTGACCTCACCTGCCCAACACCTGCTATCCTGAGGAGTGGACCACCAAAAAGTAGTTGGAAAGAGTTGGTCTTCGGGATAACTCAGCTCCTTCCTTTGCTACAGGCGTGCCTGCCTTTTTCGGATAGTTTATTGTTTACTGACCACTTCTCCTCAACTTTCATCCTCTTTCAAGGGTAATCATGGTTTCACTTTTGGCACAGATCATAAGGAAGGATATATGGGATAAAAGTATAGGCTGATTTATACCTTCCTAGGTAGGCTGAGCTGTTACATTACAACTCTTACAGGCTGGCCATGTATGGCCTAGGCTAGAGTTCCTGTTTGCTGATTCTTGTTTTTTTTCCATAGCCTGGGATAGGTAAGCAGGGAGGTGACTGCGGTAGTCTGAGGGGATGGGCTCAACGAATCCTGACTGCCATGGGAGAGAGGGAGACAGAAAAAGGAGAGCAGCAAAGGCAGCAGTTAAAGGAGTGTGTGAAGGATGGTCACTCCTAGGAGGTGGGAAAGCCAGAGGGCTCTGCTGCTGAAGCAGCGACAGGAGAGTTGCAAGGCCTCTTCAGAGAAGGTAACATCCATTGGAGCACATCAAAAGGGCCTTTGAACCTGCTGTGACTTGGGGCCCTGTGACTGATCATAAGGGCAGGAGCTGAGGCTCAGCAGCAGGCACAAGCACCACTGAAAGACTTGGTGGGGGATGCCATTCTGCGTTTATTGGGAGGGTTTATACCTTCATGAGCGACAGTAATTTCTTTGCAATTAGGTGACGGGGTTGGTGCTGTCCTCTTTCTGGAGCAAGTCCTGACACCCTTGGTCATCTAAAGCACTGCGCTCTCCTTCTGAGAGAGGCAATGGCCACAACAGGGAACGACTCCTGTGAGTAATAGCTTCACCAGCAGGTTTGGACTTTGGGAACTGCCACAGACAACTGACACGGCTGCTGGTCAAATGCCAGAATGATGTGCTCACAACCTGGAGTGATCGCTGGGACGTTTTCAGAGAGCAGCCAAAGGGACCTCAGTGTTTACAGTTAGACCCAGGAAAACACCTTCTGTCACTCCTCCGCCACTAGGTGCGAGGCTTTGAAAGATGCCATTGCTCATAAAGACGTCTGACATTCCTTGGCTTACCTTCTGTGCTCTGTACTTCCTGGTTTTCAACAAGTTACAATCAGGAAAAGCAATGGCTTGAGCTGATAATCCAGTCTACAGCTCCACTGAGAAAGGAAGGGAGCCTGAGGCCCAGAAATCAGACTGTGGGCTTGTTGGACTCTGGGTTAAGTAAGCAGGGGAACGGATTTTTCCAAAACAGCACATTTAAATGGCAGTGTTTAGGCTTCCCCTGATGTTGCTGGGTTGGAAGTTGGAACAGGTGGTCCTGAGTGCTCCCACAGAGACCTCAGGGTTTAAATATGCCTTTGTGCCTCATTTAATCTCTTTTCAAATGGAATTTCCCTGCAGGCATTGTGGAGGGAATGACTCCGCCACAAAGGCTCCTCTTTCCCCCAGAGAAGATCTGCATGGCTTGGAAGCAAAGACAGAGTGCGGGAGCAGGACTCCGCAATGTGGGCAACACGTGCTTCCTCAACGCTGTCCTGCAGTGCCTGACATACACCCCGCCGCTGGCCAACTACCTGCTCTCCCGGGAGCACAGCCAGACCTGTGAGTCCTTTCAGGAACATCTCCTTGCAAATCTGTTCACCAAATCCCAAGGATTCCCAGAACCTGGAATCTGATTTTGGACAAGAGCAGCCCTTTGTCAGCCCCATCAACTTGTGTTCTTTGTACACTCAGGAGCCACCTGTCCTATCCAGCTGTCTTATGATTCACGAAGGCACATCTTTCTAGCTCTGGGTGTCTATTCCTGCAAGTTAAAACCTCTTGGCTTATTGCCCAGGAAACTGTCAGTTTAGCATTCCTTTGAAGAACGTCTTCAGTGCACTAAAATGTCCTTCCTGTGCTTGTTGACACATTGGCAGCAGTGGCGTATTGCACTGCAGTGGGAGTGGAAGAAGAGACCCCTAAGCATATTTTGCTAACCAGAGGACCTTCTGTCCCTCCCTCCTCAGGTCGCCAACGAGGCTTCTGCATGATGTGCATCATGGAAGTGCACGTTAACAAGGTCCTGCATTCCTCCGTCAGTGCCATCCTGCCCTTGGCTGTTCTCAGGGGGTTCAGATGTATGTCATGTCAGGTTCTTTGACAGGTTTTCTTGCCTTCCTGTACGAGACAACTACTGACATCCTGTTTCTTAGTCATAGGAGAACACTTTCAGCTTGGCAGGGAGGAAGATGCCCATGACTTCTTATGCTGTACTGTCAATGCCATGCAGAGAGCTTGTCTGAGTGCAAGCAACGAGTAAGCACAAGCACGTTCCCTTTACAAAGTTCTCAGCCCTTTGACCTCCTTGATGTGGTGCCATCAAGGAAAACCTACAGCCAGGCAAAGCAAAACTCTTGGAGGAAATAATGCTCTGTCTTACCACTTCTTTCCAGCTTGGACCTCTCTTCTCAATCTACTACCATTGTCCATCAAATATTTGGAGGCCTTCTGAGATCCAGAGGTATGTTTCCACAACTATTGCTCTCCTGGGCATTGCCCGTGCCCTTCTGTCTGCCTGTGCCCAACAGCTGGTCCCGGGACTGGCAGGACAGGGACAACGAGCGCAGAGCAGAACTCAACTCACCATTGCTTGGCATTTTGATTTTGCCTTCCAGTCATCTGCTTCAGCTGCAAAGCCATTTCTGACTCCTATGAGGCCTTCCTGGATGTGCCTTTGGATATCAAAGTAAGAGGTTTGGCAGCTGTGCTTCAAGACTTTGCAAGGCTTGTCAGAGTCAACGCAGTGGTCCTAAAAGTGTTTCCTGGGTACACAAGAGGTCTCGGTGGTGGGTGGGAAGGGGAATGGACGTTGTCCTCCTGCAGAGGCCATGGCTCTGGTCTCTCTGTAGGTGCTGGCTTTAAGCTGGACAAGCACCCATTACGCTCTCTGCACCCTTGACATATCCTCATCCTTCTTCCTTTTGCCCTCCTTCAACACCCATCTGGCTCCCAGGCTGATGGCTTGGATTGTTTTCACTCCTGATGACCCTACACGACATCAGTAGCAGAGAGGGAGCTCTTGATGGCCCCTGAAAACCTCTGGGACAGGGGAAATGTTCGGCACCACACTCTCTTTCTGCCTCCTTCTGGACACTGCTTTGTGGGTCTCCTCAACATCAGCTCCAGGGGTTTTCTTGTCAGCTCCTGGAAAATGTTTGGGCGAGGGCATTGGCTGCAGCTCAGGGCACTCATTTCTCAATTCTCCAGGCAGCCTCATCCCTCACTGCAGCTCTGGAGGACTTTGTGACACCTGAGCAGCTGGATGGTGAAAACTGCTTTACGTGTAGCAAGTAAGACAATTACTAACAACACAGGAACACCAGAGCCTGTGTGAGGGGGCTGTAAGTGATCGAGCAGAAGTCATCTTCCCAGGGAAGTTTACTGCACGCTAATGAGACACAGTTTTGGTTGGTATTTTCTTTTCCTGTTTTTAATATGGCACTGAATTGTTTTAAAATAGCATAAGGATGTGTGAGACAAGAAAGGTTGTCTGGCTGCCTGGGGGGAAGATGGGGTGCATTTCAGCACTGTGCTCTGTGCTTGGTTTCAAGGTGTGAGAAGAAGGTTGCTGCCTCCAAGAGGTTCACGGTCCACTGTGCACCCAAGGTTCTCACAGTGTGTCTGAAAAGGTTTGACTGCTTCACTGGCAGCAAGATCAGCAAGGTTTGTACTCTCTTGGTGGGCAGCTTTCTCTTCAAGGAGCCGATTTCCTAAAGCATCGCGCTTGTCACAAGCTGTTTGTGGTGGGTTTGTCATGTTCCCCTTCTGAGGAGTGCAGAGTTGCTGTGGGAAGACAGGCAAGCACTGTGCTCTGACAGAGCTGCTTTGACCCCAAACAGTTTCCTGCTGCCCAAACCGTGACATGTTGCTTTATGGCAAACCAAGTGTTTATGAGCCCCAGAGATGTACTGATAGCCCTGGCCTGGCCCCTGCACTTGGTAGGCGATTTCATGTCCCAGACCAGGATCATTTCTGAGCCCTCTCGGTCTCTCCATAGATTGTAGAGTATCCGGAGCACTTGGATCTTCGCCCGTACATGTCTCAGGACAATGGAGATCCACTCCTCTACTCCTTATATGCTGTGCTGGTGCACAGTGGTGTCAACTGTCTCGGAGGGCACTATTTCTGCTACACAAAGGTAACGAGAGCAACTTCCTTCCCCATGGGGAAAAATGGGTGCTGAGGAAGATCAACGTTCCTCTCAGTGTTACTGACAGCCAAGGTTTGAGGGCCGGAGGCCTCCTTAGCGGCTGGACTGCATGTGTTCTGACATGCTCTTGGTTTGGCAGTTTTCTGCCTGTGTTTTTGGAGAGAAACCACGCAGAGACGCTTACCTTTTCTGTACAGGCCAGCAATGGACTGTGGTACCGGATGGACGATGAGTCTGTGGAGCTGCGTTCCATTGACACAGCTCTCAGGCAGCAAGCCTACCTGCTGTTCTATGCTAGGTAATAACCAGGATTCAAATATGCTCCAAATACAGTTCCTTTTCCTCATTTGAACTTTTGCTTCTCACCTTCCTGAGTGCTGTTCTCATGCAATGCAACTGCTACGTGCATCATTCAGTGCTGTCAAAGCCAACCTACTCCATGTCTGTCCTTTCCTGGGCTTCAGCCTGCGGCCCGGATGCAATCTGCTACTTGTCTGGTCTCTGATGCGGACTCATGTAGATAAGAGCACTTAAAAAGCGCCTCCAGGAAAGATGGGGAGGGACCCTTTATCAGGGAGTATAGTGAGAGGATGAAGGCTGTCAGTTTTCAGCTGACAGAGATTCTATATTAGGAAGGAATTCCTTGCCATAAGGGTGCTGAGACACTGGCACAGGTTGCCACAGCATCTGTAGGTGCCCCATCCCTGGAAGTGTTCAAGGCCCCATCGGACGGGGCTTGGAGAAACCTGGCATAGTGGAGGGTCTTCCTGCCCATGAGAGTAGGGTGGAACAAGACAGAGTTTAAGGTCCCTCGCAACTCCAACAAATCTGTGAATTTGTGAAATGGAGGCTGTAGGAGGTCTAGAGAGGAGAGTTTTTTGGGACAGAGGTAAACCTGGTGGGAAGACCGTAGCTGAGTTTCCCATTAGTGGCCTTGGTTAAGCCTTGTTTCTGTCTTAGAAGCCCCTCTGAGAAAATGAATGAACCCCAGAGGAGGTTGCAACAACAGCCCGAAAATGAGATCACTCTTTTTTTTGGTCCAGATGCTCTAATCTGAGAACTACAGAAAGGGCTTCTTCCTCACTGGCACCATCACATGCCCCTTCTCCCCTCAGTCAGTGTGAGGCCAGCAGCAAGCAGGCAGGTTCTGCTGGACCACGGGGTCAGCCTCGCAGGACTAAGGTAACTTTGGGGACGTGGGTCAGGGCATCAGAGGAACAGGGGATTTCTTCCTGGGATCTCAGCATTTCTCCTTTGTCCCTCACACATTGCACCTCTCTTCACAGCCACAGCGCTGCTCCCTCTCAAAGCATCCCACCTGGATGCATCTCCTTTGTGCACCTCTGGCCCTTTGGTCTTAGCAGCCCTCCAACAGAGCCTTCGGGAGGCCCCAAACTGTCCCGTCCCAGAACTTATAGGGCTTCCCCACTGCTCTGATCCTTTCAGGAGAAAAGGGCAGAAATTCTCCACTGCTCTCTTTGCAGGGCCTGAAGGACACCGGCAGGGAGAGGGCCCGCAGCAGATCCCCTCTGTGGGGCAGGAATCTCTGCAGCCGCTCTGTGGACACCACGGACTATGACCACTCTTCAGGGAGGACTGGTCCTCCAAGTCGAGCCCGTGCTCCGAGGGATAACACAGCTACAGGGCCTTCCCACAGGAGTGACCAGTGGGCTCCTGCTCCCAGGGCTGCTCAGGAGCAAGCCCTGCTGAGGCAGAGGGAGCTGAGCAGATCTGCATGGGGCACCTACAACCTTCGCCGCCGCTTTGTGCACTACACAGACTACGACCGCTCCCTGAGGAAGAGAAAGAGGGAGAGGACAAGTCCTCCACGTTGTGACCAAGCCCCAGTGGACGCTGCAGTTCCAGGGCCCTCCAACGCCAGCTCCAAGCAGGCTGTCACGCTCAGAGCTGCTCGGGAGCGAACCCCACAGAGGCAGAGAGAACAGAGAAGATCCGCGTGGCGGAGCGATGATCACCACAGCCAGTCTGTGCAGTGCACAGACTACCGCCCTGCAGAGAAGAAGAGGAGGCTTTCCCTGACCCAGAGATGCATGTCAGACAACCATTCAGGGCACTCTGGGAATGATGGCCTTGGATTATGGCCCTGGCTCAAGCAGAATGCAAGACTAGCACTGCGTTTCTTAGCCAAGGCATCCTCGTTTTCGACACGCCTTTTCAGACATCAGTGAATGATTTATCCAAGTAGATGATAGGGATAAGAATATAGAAATATTAGTGGGATAATGATAATAGTGATAGTGATAGAGAAATATTAGAATAGTTTAGAATACATTATGACATATTCTATATATTCAGTAGATAGTATTATAATAAATATTAGAAAAACAATAAAAGAAAAAATATGGAAATTCTTTATTCAGAATCGTTTATTCCACAGTGTAGATAATTATAGCTATTAACGTAGTGCAGTGTTTGGAAACAGTATGGAAGCACTTCTATTCAAGTGAGCAGAACAAGTGTTAAGCAGAGATTGATGTTCCCTCTGCCAAGGGCCATGGGCAAATCGCTTTCTCTCAGGCTGGAGGAGTAACCTTGATGACAGGGCCTTTCTAGACTAAAGTGACAGAGTGCCCATCAGGTGCTGCTCGGGGAGCTGTGCCAGCTGGAGCTGGATGCTCTGCCTGAGCAGGGATATAGCAGCTCCAACTGTGTCTCAGGGTGTGACTTGTCAGTGAGGGCTTGAGCCAGGACAGTCTGATGATCACTGATAGGAGGGAGCAAGGAGGCTCTGCTGTTTTTAGTGTTGAGGAACGCTGAGACCAGCTTGGACAAACTATCAGACCCACCGCTGGAGCCCAAAATCTCAGGAGAAATCAAACCCTCAAATACTAGTTTTAGGACTAGGAAGCAGGCAATACTTTATTTCACGTGGGATCACTCCTCTAAGGGCGCACACAGTGTTCCAAATTTTCACTATTTATACATTTTATCAAACAAAGGAATCAATGTTCATGGGCTGTAAATTGCATCATTCCCTTCATTAATTAATATTCTATCTTGGTTATTGATTTCTCGCTTCTCATGCTAATTAGTCCATGGTTTAGATGTTTTCCTTATTTCTCTCAGATAATGCAGCCCAGCACTGTGCTCAGCTCAAGCACCAACTGTGGTGCTCGCTGCCCTCCTGGAAGGCCCCCTTCATCGTAGCGACAGGATGCCCATGGCCCCCTGTCCTGGGCTCCCCCATCCCTGGCCTCACATCCTTGTGCCCAGGGCAGGCCCTGCTATAGAGAGCAGAGGGGCTCTGCTGCCACCCTGGGGGTGCCCATGAGCTGTGCAACAGCTCCAGTGGCCAAGTGCAAGGCTGAGCTCTCCATGGGACTGTGTCTGGCCTCAGGCAGATCCACTGGCCTTTCCTTGTCTCTATTTCCACTCATGTCCCAAGAATGCAATTCAGGTATTAGTCAAGATATGATTTTCAAAGATCTTTCAAAGCTCCCGCCTGTCTTTTCTACGGAAGAATCACACCTAAATTTCTCACTACGTGGGACAAGAAGGAGATTTCCCATTTTATGCTAAGGCCCAGTACTTGGAAGAAGGTGGTTTCCTGGTTCTTATTTGCTCCGATGTTGCTTTGGTCATCCACTGGGAAAAAGGCATGAACAGGCTCTCTCCCTCCCCTACTGCAGTAACTTGTTTTACACCCCAGGTCTTTATAGCCATTGATGCGGCGCACGGGTTCGAAGAAATGAAGCCGCAACACTTCTGGGGCGATGAACTGAAAGAACTTTTAGGAATGTAACAGAAAAGACTTGGGCTGATCAGCCAACTTAGGGGAGCAGAAGGAGAAACTAAACTGCACAATCAAAATCGCTCCTGTCTTTTATAGGGTAGGGAAGGGAAGGCTCTGGAACAAGTGGTAGAACTTAACTATATAAGGAAGAAATTACCATCTTAGTCTGGTACTGCCATGCAGCACCACTGGCCAATAGAGACACAGGATTTGAAGGTGTAGGGAAAACAAGGGCAAAAGGGGGTGCAATGAAGGGAAATAATACAATACATAATGCAATAACATAACACAAAACTATAAACATATTTTCTCAGAAATCCGCCTCCCAACACAGTAATTTATAAAAATCTGATGCTTCTCACTCACTGTGTTGGGAATATTTAGACCCAAAAAAATAGACCTATTACTCTCTCCTGTAAACTCTTCCAAAAGGAGAATACTATCATTCTGTGCTTTATGAATTAATTTCCTTTCTGTTTCCTTCTCTCCAGAAAGTACTGCACCAATAGTCATTTCATGGCACTGAAGATCTCCTTCTTCCTCAGCGTGTAGATCATGGGGTTGCTGAGGGGAAAAACCGTGGTGTGGAACACCATTCCCAGAGGTAACGTGTAGAAAGACCGGCAGTAGATATATGTAGCTAGTACAAACATAACAAAGACGATAATGATGTGGGTAGCACTGGTACTTGCTGCTTTGCTCTCCCCTCTGGACACTAAGTGTTTTCAGACGGATTAGTAGGACATTATAGTAATCAGCAGAAAAATGAAACATATAAAGATGGCTAGGTCACTGTTGATAAACACGATAAACTCCAGTATGTAAGTGTTGGTACGTTCTAACTTAATCACTTGTGTAACATCACCAAAGAAGTTGTCAAGTCCATTTGGGCCACAGAAGGGAAGATGAACAACAAATACAACCTGAATGAATTTGTGAATCCAGCAGCCTGTGCTATCCCCACCAAGATCCAACAGAGTGTTGTCCTCATTAAGGCTGCATAATGAAGATAGCCACAAATCTGTCAAAGGTCATTGCTGTGGGTAGGAAGACCACAGTTCCACCAAGAAAGTGAAGGAAGAAGAGCTGTGCTATGCAGCTTTTAGAAGAGATGGTTTTCTGTTGTTAGAAGAAATCAGCCAGCATCTTAGGTAGAATAATAGAAGAGTAACAGATATCCAGGAAATCCAGATGAGTTAGGAAAAGTACCTTGGGGAATCCCACTGAGAATCTCCCTGGACTGTAAGGAGGATGGAGGAAAAATGACATAGAAAAGGAGGAAGAGAAAAAAGATGAAGAGTTGCATTTTATGTGCCTGAGACAATCCTAACAGTACAAATTCTGTCCCTTTTGTCATGTTTTCTATCATATACCTGAACATCCCTAAAATAGAATAAATATAAATGAGATATAAGACTGGACATCTAAAATGCAGAATTGAATCTTGTGGGACATTAAGAAAAAAGAAAAAAATCTCTACCAAAACCAAAACCTGAGAAATTCCCAAATGGCTTCCTTAAAGACCAGTGTCTGAGTTCTTATTTATCTGGTAGACAGACATCTGATATAGTTTAGCAATGCTTTTCCCTAGAAATGTCTGATGCATCCCACATTCCCACTTCAAACCTTACCATATGATAATATTATGCATAATATAATTACCATACTTAGTGAATAATGGATCAAATAATTCTGATTAAGGATTTATGCATAATAATTTCAAATATTTTAAATCTGACTTTTTTTCTCTAATGTAGTAATTTATGACAGGTAAAATCAGTGGAAATAGGGATTACCCAGTGTCATGGTTTTGACCCTGGCCGGATTTCAAATACCCACTGAAAGCCGCCTTTCCCTTTCCTCCCTCATCTGCTCTCATCAGAGGACAGAAAGAAACAGTCAGAGAATTCCTGAGTAGAGATGAGAGCTGGGAGAAGTCACTTACTGATCACGGGCAAAACAGATTCAAAGGGAATAGAACTTAAATTTAATGCTAACAAACTAAAAGCTGAATTTATTGCTAAGAGAATAAGAACTAAAGAGTAAAAGAATAAAACAGTCTTAAAACACAGCACCTTCCCCCCATCTCTCGTTCCTCCATGTTCTCCCTCGTCCCCCCAGCAATGCAGGGAGACGGGAAAGAGGAGGAAGTCACAGCCAGCAGCTGCTTCTGCTGCTGTTAAAATCCATCTCTTAGACAGGAACTCTTCCCAGTTCACTGTCCTGGGGGGTCACTCTTCCATCAAGTGCAAGATGTGTGTGAGGGTCTCTGCACTGATGGTCTCCATTAGCTGCAAGGGGACAGCTTGCTTCACCATTGGTCATCACCATGGTTACAGGGTAATGGCTTTGAGTCCTTCCCCTGTTTCTTATGGGGTCCCTTCTGATGGGAGACAGTCCTGAATAGACCTCTCTGGCGTGAATCCATCCCTCAGGCAGCAATTCTTCCATAATCTGCTTTCCCTCGGGTCACGAATGAGCTGCACCAGCGAGGATTCCCCACAGGGCCACAAGTCCTACCCAGGACAACTTGCTCTAGCGTAGGTTTCTCTCTCCGTGGGCCACAGGTCTCCAGCGGGACTCTGTTTTATCTTGGGCCTCCCATGGGATCTCACCCTCCTCATGCATCCACTTGCTCCAGTGTAGGCTTCTCCATGAGCTGTAGGGGGTCTCCTCACCCCAATAATCTTCCACAGGTGGCAGGGGTCGCAGCTTTAAGTCTTTCCGCTGCTGGAGGGGGAGAGGGGGGCCCCCCCGGGCCTCTCCTCCCCCCTCCTGCTACACTGACCTTGGAGAATGCATTGCTATCTCATGCTCTCCTCTCTGGCTGGAATTTCTTCTGCAACACAAACCTTCTCTTCCTCTATATTCTTAAATATGTTATCACAGAATTGCATACCATTGGCTAGTAGTAGGAAGTCCATCCTGGAACTGGCTATCATTGGCTTTTTATAGAACAGCAAAAGCTTCTAGTAACTTCTGACCGAAAACATCTCTGTGGCCTCCTATTACCAAAATTCAGCCACTTGAACCCATGACACCCAGTTAATTTATACACTTTTCTTTGGAGAAGAAGAATGAGTTTTTAAAATTATTTATTTTGCAATAACAACAGTAAGGGGACAATAAAGGAAAGATAGACTAATTAATTTGAACTAAGTGCTTGAGTCATTTGCATATGACTCAAAAGGAATCTCATCTCACTTGAACTTCTTAATATTTCTTCACAGGTTTCCAGTCATCACTGAAAAAAATCACAAGTTTTCACTTGACTTTCTTCTTATCTGCACACCCAACACAAAGCCTTAGTTACCCTATAGCATTTCAAATGAAACAAACTGTGTAAAAAACCAAACCAAAATAAGCTCAGGTCTATACTGTCATACTTGTGTGTAAAACCTCAAGATGAATCCTGCCCTTGTCATTACTAAAATAATGCTTCATACACAGTTTAGTGTTATGGTGTTATAATCTTCAGATGAATTTTATTCCTCAGATATGTACTTGGGTTGTGTTTGTGAAGAAGGTTAGGTTGAATGTTCTACAGATTCTCCAAGCCTGTATGTATTGATAGTTTTCAGGTAGAACTGAGACCAGACATGGAAGTAAGAAATCAGACATCTCATCTATTGTTATCTAATTTGCACTTAGATAGGAATTTCTTAATGAAATGGGGTGAATCCCCTACTATGCTGAACATTCTCACAAAGCCAAACCAAATGATTCATTATATATTTTTAAGTAATTCCAATTTATAAACAAATATGTTTAATATATATTAATAGGAATTCATTTAAGTCATATTCCCTTTCTCATTAATGGAATCTGGGGAAATATTCTGCTCATCTACAGACAGTGAGGTTTGGTCTGTGGCATAGCTAATAAGATTTAATGACTTACTGACTTGAATTCTGTCAAAGCCAACTTAGTTGGGACACATGCAGGCTTCAATACAATTAATACCAAGAAAAGGAAAGCCTTATTTTGAGTTGGATTTCTGTAGAATATCTGTAGAATATTTCTAACCTCATATTCCCTTTTATTACAAATTGCAAGAGTCATCTTTATACACCGTTAGTGACCTAAAAAAACCTTTGTGGTTCCTCTCATAAATGCCTGACCATACTTTCCTGAAATTGTCCCTCATTCTTTGAAAATAAGAACCACAATGACATTTCCCTCGTAGGGTCTTACAAACATAATGAAAAATACTTTATCTCTAAAAATAATTTAATTTCTAACACCTCTGCTACTGAACATAAATAACATAGACTCTTATCTTGTCCTTACTAATAAGCGCATAGGAGGAAAATGGAAGGAAAAGGAAGGGAAGGGGAAAGGGAAGGGGAAAAAGGAAGGGGAAAAGGGAAAAGAAAAGGGAAAGGGGACAGACTCACTCTCTATCTGGAATGTAGTAAAACTCCACAAGAACATGTTGTCTTCTGGATATGCAGACTTTCTTTCATATATTTTTTTCACTCCGAAGTTAGGAGGCACAGACAGCTAGACCGCAGAGAAATGTAGACACATCTTGACTGTTGAGTGAAATTTGTTGACAAATCAGCAGAAATTTTTTGACAAATCTAGGACTTCCCAGAGAGGCACAGCTGCACAAGGCCATCAGGTCATCAAGGGAAAAATAATTACAGACTCTGCCACATACACTAGCTGAGCATTAGATTTGGAATTCAGTTAGTAATGTCTCCAAAACATTTCTTATCTTCAAAGAAACAAAATCAGGAAGGAATATGCCCCAAATCATACTATGCCATGGAGGCATGGTGCAGAAAGGTTCTGGCTACTGTTCTGTAACATATTGTATCACAGACCTACTGGAGACGTGAACAGGAGAAAGAGATTGGCTATTTCTCTGCTTCATTGAGAGCATCCAAAATGCTGAAGGAAATTGCCTTCATGGAAATCTGATCTTGGGTGTCTCTGTAGTTTTTACCTGAATTTTCCCTATAAGGAAAAAATATCAGAGGAGAAATTGCAACAGTTAGGGAAGCAGGAATGCAGAAGCACCCTGTAACTGCTCCAAATTGTGTGGACCTACTTGAAGATTGAGCAACATGCTGCAGAGAACCTCTGCCACTGACTTCTACTGATGCTTCAGAATACTGGAAACCTTAAGCCAGGCAAAGTTCCAGGGTGTTGAGACTGCTGTAGAGGTATTGGGCTGGGGCTGGCGTGGCCTCTCTTATGTGAAAAGTACTTCAGACAAGGCAATGTAGTGAGGTGAAGGAACATGAGGGGTGGGTGAAAAGACCATGCATCATCAGGGAAAATGCAAGGGAAATCAGCAGGATCTTTTCAGACAAGAGGTTGAAGCACAGAGAGAAAGGAAGGCATAATGCCCAGAAACCATGGTGAAACAGTGAATAGTTTGAAAATGACATCTGCTACAAAGAAAGGCAGAGGTGCTATTCAGGGAAGTTTTGAATCCATGAGAAAAGACTGAAACTTCATGAAGTTCAAGAAAAGCAAATATAAAACCTTGTATCTTGGATCAAAATTCTCAAACAATGGAACAGGCTGAGGTCTCACTGGTTAGGAGGGAACTTTGCAGAAAAACATCTGGGGGCATCCAAGTAGACAAAGTGAATATGAATGAGCAAAATGCCTTTGCAGAAAAGGGTAGCTATAACCTGGGCTGTGCTAGCAGCAGTGATGCCACTGTGACAAGTGAAGGGATTCTCCCCTTTTATTCAACACTTCTGAGATCCCATCTAGAGCATGGTGTCCCATTTTTCTGCTCCCTAGAGCAAGGAAGATACTCCCATACTTGAGTGAGTCCAGAGGAAGGCCATAAAGATGGTGAGGGAGCTGGTACACAAAATGCACAAGGGAAGACTGAGAAAGGTGTGTTTTGCAGGTTTGAAAGGAAAAGGGTAAGGGAGATCTTATCACAGAATCACAGAATATGCTGAGTTGGAAGGGACCCACAAGGATTATTGAGTCCAGCTCCTGGCCATGCACAGGACCATCCCCAACAGTTGGAACTGAGATATCATCTAAATATCATCTGAATATCATCTAAATGCTTTTTGAGCTCTGTCAAGCTTAGGGTTGTGACCACTGCTCTGGGGAGCCTGTTCCAGCATCCAAGCACCCTCTGGGTAAAGAACCTCTTTCTCGTACCCAATCTAAACACTCCCTGACACAACTTCAAGGTCATTCCCTAGGTATTCCCTGTTACTGGTCCCCACAGAGCAGAGATCAGTGCCTGCCCCTCCTTTTCCCTTCCCAAAGAAGCTGTAACTGCAACGATATCTCCCCTCAGTCTCTTCTTCTCCAGCTGAACTGACCAAGTGCCCTCAGCCGCTCCTCACACAGCTTCCCCTCCAGGCCCTTCCC